CAGACAGAATAAAGTAAATGTTCAGAGAGAATAAAGTAAATGTTCAGTAATTAAACGTGATATGTGACTTTAAAGAGTTTAAGAGGTTCAAAGTTTACTCGTCTTTTGTGTGTAAATAAGATGAGGTCACACTCACTGAACCCACTTTAAGATCTGTGTGTGTGTGTGTGTGTGTGTGTGTGTGTGTGTGTGTGTGTCTCTGTGTGTCAAACAATAGCTGGGGGAGGGGGAGGGTGGGTATTCCCCTTCACAATAAAAGAGGAAATCATTGGCAGAGTAATCACAGGTCAGTACGAGTGTTTTGTCCCACTTTCTGTTATCAGAGAGCCTGATAACAGCACTGATTATGTGTGTGTGTGTGTTAGTGTGTGTCTGTGTGTGTGTGTCTGTGTGTGTGTGTGTGTGTATCTGTGTGTGTGTGTGTGTGTGTGTGTGTCTCTGTGAACCGACCAATCACAGCGTAGCGTCGCTCTGCTCCACAGACTCTCATTAAAGGTTTCTGGTTTCGTGGTTTTTGGATCTTCTTGTTTCACTTCAATAAACGGACGTGAGGTCCGATTACAGTCTGGACGCCGTCATGCTCTCGTGCCCCGGCGAGCGTTTTTGGCTCCTGAATATCAGGCGATGACTATAAGACCTGATTTAAAAACTGGGTCCAGAGCTCGAGATCTCTCAATCAGCCGCTCGTCTTCATCAGCTCTGTTGATGAAGGTCAGCGTGAGGTCACTCTGGAAATAAGAGCAGAGGCTTAAAAAAAAGAAAAGTTCTCAGTAAACCTCTTAGAAAGCTAATTGAGCTGTTGGACAAAGAGCCACATTCTTGGGGGGATGAGGACCGGAGGTGGGGGGTGCTGTTGAGGAAACAGACCCTTTAGAGTCCTGGACCCAAACCGCTGAGGATCCAGTACTGACCAGATGAATCCACCACACATGAAGAGGGAAATGTGTCTGGATCCAGACCTGAGAGTCTTGTGGCCCTCACAGGGTTCAGGGATCCAAACAGGTCTGGTTCTGTTCTCTGAGGATGAGGTGTTCTCACCTGTACAGGTTGTCCTCTTACAGACATCTCAACTCAACCACTTAAGCCAGAGCGCCCCCTTTTTTGGGGGCTGTGGAGAAAGTTTAGCATATGTATACCGTTGGACAAAATGCACTTATCACGAACGAATATAGTGATGTTGCACATCAGATTAAACAGCAGAACCTGGGCTACAAGAATATGTAAGCCGTTTCTACATGCTCCAAACACAACTTAAACAACAACTAAATAAATTACCAAATATCAAAATCCATATAGTGCCACCTAGTCAACCCACTCGCCACATTTCTGGTTCTACCGCTGTGGTACTTTATGCAATACAAAAACACGATACCTCAAAAGAAAGCAGACACTCCATCAAATCCAGCTACACAAAGCATCAGCGAGATATGAGCCAAAGAACACCAACAACAGAAATCACTTCATCAAACGATAGTTGCAAGATTTCTCTTACCTTTGCTGTTTTTCATCGATATTTATATTTTCCCGGTAATTCAGACTGAGATACGTTAGACCTACGTCCTGTGTTACACTAAAATCATTCCAGGCGTTTCTAGGTGACTGTCGGTCCAAGCAGGAAGTATAAGAATCACCTTGCGTCATAGCCAGCAGGTTTCACAGGGCGACGCCCTGCTGATTCTGATTGGCTAACAGTGCTGTCAATATCATTTTGGTCAGTATAGCTAAATTCTATTGGCTCTAACGCTTCAAATGAGGTGTCAATCACTGAAATCGACCAATGGGTTGCTGAGATAGAGCCCTGCATACTCACAGGGGTCTGACATCGAGAAAAACTCCAGTACACAGAGACTCAGAGACTCAGAGAGGATTCTGGCTTTCAAAATAAAACCCAAACTGCTGTATTTGGATGTATTGAACACCATCAGTGATATACAAGTGACATATATAGTTTGGTACATGAGAAAATTTAAATGGCACACATGGTTCCAAAATGACCATTTTGGTGACCTCGCCTGACCTCTCTGTACTAAAACCTCTAACTTTGTTCTGCTTCACTTTATCAAAGTCAAACTTTGCAGAGAGACTGTTCACATATTGTGCTATGATTTGGGAGAGGGTTTAGACCTGCAGCTGCATCATTCCAAAGACATAATCATCCTGAAAGTGCTTTTTTTGTTTAGGCGAACCTGAAACTTTTCAATTTGTGCTGTGTCCCATCTTCATTTACTCTTAACCAGTAACATATACACTGATATTTATTTCATCCGAACAAATCACACAAGTGTTCCCTTTATTATAACACCAAAATTATTCAAATAGACCTTGTAGTTGCAGAGATATACTCATTTTAGTATGAGTATGCAATTTTCAAGCAGAGGCCTAAAAAATAGGTCTGTTTTACTGTGATAGTAACCCACCAGACCCAAGAATCGCATCAGCTCTTTCTTGGTGGTGGGCACTGGATACTGCTCAATTGCAGTCACCTTTGCCTGTACCGGCCGCACCTGCCCTTGGCCCACTACCTTCCCAAGATAGGTGACGGTTGCCTTTGCAAACTCACATTTGGCCAAGTTGATCGTCAGGTTTGCGCCGTGCAGCCGATCAAACAGCTTCCTGATGCGGTAGACATGCTCTTCCCAGGTATTGCTGTAGATCACGACATCATCAAGGTACACGGCACAACCGTCCAGTCCAGACATAACCATATTCATTAGACGCTGAAAGGTCGCCGGTGCATTTCGCAACCCAAAACTCATCACTGAATAGGAAAAAAGCCCAAAAGGAGTTATAAAGGCAGACACCTCCCTAGCTCGTTGAGACAGTGGCACTTGCCAATATCCTTTAAGTAAATCAAATTTACTGACAAAGCGAGCTGAGCCCACCTGATCCACACAATCCTCCATGCGCGGCAGTGGGTAAGCGTCTGGTTTGGTTACCCCATTTACCTTACGATAGTCTGTACAAAATCGAGGGCTTTTATCTGCTTTATCCACAAGCAAACAGGGAGATGTCCAGCTGGAAGCAGAAGGTTCGGCAATATTATTGTCAAGCATATAGTGTATTTCTTTTTCCATTACTTTGTGTTTCATTTCTGACACTCTCTAAAAACGCTGGCAGTTTGGCTGCGCGTCACCCACGTCAATGTCATGCTCTATCAAATGTGTAGGAGTTGGCACGTCACTAAACAAACACAGATAGTTGTTAATAAGAGCAGACAACTCCGCGAACTGCTCCTTCGCCAATTGCTCAAGCAAACCCTCCAAGTTACCCAGCGTTTCAGAGTTCTTCAACCGGCCCCGCAACCGACTCTCATCAGGTGAAACCACCCCATCATCCTCAGGTACCGTCAAATTAACCAGCAACTGTCTTCCCAGAGTTCCTGCCATTAACACCAGTTTAACAACCTGCTGTTGCACACTCCCCCCCGAGGCAGAAGGCTGTGACCCACGAGTATAATAGGACTTCAACAGATTTACATGGCAAATTTGAGTTTTCCTTCTACGCTGTTGTGTCGACAACAAATAGTTTTGCTCAGAAACCTGACGCAAAACTACGAAAGGACCATGAAATTTGGCCTGAAATGGTGAACATACAAGTGGCAATAAAGCAAGAACCTGATCACCAGGACTGAACTGGTGGATCTTAGCTCTCCGGTCATAGAGATGCTTCATTTTTGTCTGGTAAGTAATCAATGCAGACACCGGGTAAATCAGAAATGGACGAGCCCCCATATGTCACAGCCTGGCTCGTAGACTGAGACAAAAACTGGGAGACAATGAGCTGGCGCCAAAAGTAGTCTTTTATTTATAATGCCAAAAACACAAGGTGTCTCACAACACCCGTGGTCGCGAGCCCGTCAGCACAGGTCTTCCTTTTCCCAGGGCTGCCAACTGGAAAGGTATTTAAGGAGGAGCCACGCCCCGGCACAGGTGAGACTCATCCTGGTAATGACCCTCCACTCAGCACCTGCAACAGATGGAAAAACCGGCACCTAGTGTATGACAGGAGGGTCGTCACAACTTAAATCAAGATACTTCTGATACGCAGTTAGCCACAGCGTCTAGTCCAGAAGCTAGCTTCTGTGTAAGAGCAGAGGTGACAATAAAGTTTTTGGGTTAGGGTTACCCTGCTATATGTTCTTGTTCCCTGAATCTCTACAGAGGAGGTGGTGAAGTTATTGTGACCCGTCATCCATAACAGGTCAAACTTATTAAAGAGTTAGCAAATAATTCACGAGTCCCCCAAAGTCATATCTTATCTCATCATATCTACAAATAAAACTGTAAAAAAGAGCAAATAAAATCCCTCCAGATACTCCTTGCCTCCTGATCCAGATGTTGAGTATTATGGGATCTTTCCTGTGCACTGGAGTCAAACTCTGAAATGAATACGATTTGGGTTGAAAAACACCAGAAATGTTAAAACCTTCTGGTGACGAGCGATCCCCATTTGGGGGTTGAGCAAGACCGTTTAAGGTGGTACCGTGGTTCCGAATGGACTTTTTATCAAGAAATATCAAAAATGCTCCAGACATATTAAATA